AAAACGCCGTGGGGGCCATCAGAACCCGCCCCTAGAGCAGCCACACCACGCTATGTGAGTGCAGTGTCCTTGAGCAATGCAACATGGTATGATGCACAACCGGCAACGCACGTTCCAAATAAAGCAGCACGGCCGCCTTGCTTGGCCCAGGCAACGACGCGCGCGGCCAGCGCCACGGGCCGCGCCGGCAGGCATGTGGGCGGGTGACTCACCGGCGCGGGCCTCATCTATCTTGCGGGCCGTCTTCTCGGCCGCCGCCTGCTTTGCGGCCACGTCGTTGGCCAGGGCCTTGGAGCTGCTGATTACGTCAATGGCGGTCTCGTCCTGAGGCCGGGTGTTGGCGCCAGCACGCGCGTCAGACACTACAGGTGGCATTTCTCGTCGAATGCTGGACGACAGGGACAGAGCTTATGGCAGCGCGTACACGCTGACGTGGCGGGGTGCGAGGGCGGGTGCTCCGGACGCCACATCTCGTAACAACAATCATCTGGAATGCCAGGGGCGCCTTGCCTCCTGCCCAATCCCCCGCATCCCGCCCCGCCGCTCACCTCCAGGATGTCGCCTTGCGACGCCGACAGCACGGCGATGATGCGGTCCTGGGGGTTGGAGGGCGGGTGTATGTGTAGAGATGGGTGGAGGTGGGGGGGGCGGCAGCAAGAGTGCATGAGCGGGTGGATATGCTACGTGGGCCATATGGCGCTCCTCCTCCTCGCCCTCTTCCCACCCCCATCCCCTGACTGCTAATTGCCGCTCTTCCCTGGGCACGTGCAAGACGAAGCTGGATGAGCCGGCAAGGCAAAAGCGCAAACAGTACTGAAGCTCAAATGCCATTGCTTCACAGCTCCAGAATCTTGCAAGAATTATAATCACCATGCTGCCACACCCCAAGTTCGCCTGCTTCAATCAAGCGACAAGCCTCCTTCTTCAGAAGCCGGTTTGCCAATCAACTCCCAAAACTTTGTCCCCAAAATAGGCAAACAGACCCGCCCCTGTCGCACCTCGATCTCTGCCAGCTGGCGTGCGTTCTCCGCGCCCTGCACCGTGAGCCGCGCCTTGTCCTCCTCCAGCTCGGGGCGCTCGCGCGCCACCACCAGGCCCAACACCTGGGTGGGGCAGCACGGGAGTGGTTATATGTGTGTGACACATAATACGTGTACTAAAAACGCGTTGTGTGTATAAATTGTGCTCACGCTCGACAACCAAACGCGCACCCCACTAGCGCCTGCCACACCTGGTCTTCCAGGCCGCCTCGGGTGATGCTGAAGTTGAGGAGGGTCACCTGGGTTGGCACATTGGGAGACAGCCAGAAAGGGGAGCCACAGCTTTACTGGCGTGCCCACACAGGGCAGGTGCAGGCATATGAAACAAGGCCCCCCAAAATACGGCCCCGCGCCGCACTGCAGTTTGTTCATTTTGCAAAGCGGTAAGCCGCACGAGCGGAAGCGCATAATTCACGGGGAACTTCCCGCTCACCTTTACAGCGACCTCTGGGAGGTAGTGAGGGTTCCTGAGCTTAGTCGTGAGGTACAGCCTGAACGAGGGGCTGTACTCCAGGACAGAGTCACCCAGGCGGATGCAGGTGACGCCACCCTGTTCGCGGATTTGTTTATGGTTGCTTTTCCGTTTGAATTTCCAAAAGCAGAATGAGGAACAGGAACAGGAACAGGAGATCATAAAAGTCATGACAGAGGTGCGCATGTCGGGGTCAAAATGCACCCATCTTGTTCTCAGGCGCAGAGGAGGGCCGCATACGGCAGCCATTTGCAAGCACTGGGTTCCAGATCGATCTGAACGTACAGCGCGCAGTGATGGCCCTAAGCGCCGCTGGGGTCTGGGTGCTGGTGCAGGCCCAGCGCCTCAACCCTGCACCTGAACCCTGATGCAGGCCCAGGGCCGCCGCCCCACCTGCTTGAAGGTGTCCCTCAGCAGCAGTGGCTCCAAGCTGGCGTCCAGCTCCTCGGCCACGCCCTCAAGCAGGACAGGGTAGCCAAACTGGGGCCAGTGGAGGGTTGGCCAGAAGGCATTGGGTCTTCTTCGACGGTTGTCTACGAGCTGCTTGTTGCTCGATTTGCTGGGATGGCAACGGGCTTTAGCAAACGTGCCTGTGCAGGAGGCAGGACCTGCCTCTTGCGTGCGAGCCCCCGGACTATGCGGTAAATGCCATGCACCGTCATGAACCCCCGGATTGCCGATGGACTTCTTGCGCGCACCTGGACTGCGTTCTCCATGCGCCTCATGTAGTCCGCGTCTGTGAGCTTCATCACCTCCAGCTGGGACTTGCGCTCCATGTTCTTCACCCACCTTTGATTTGGGGGTTGGGGTGGTGTGGGGTGGTGTGGGGTGGTGTGGTGTGGTGTGGTGTGGGTGCTGGGTGTATACAACCTCAAAACCCAGCAGCATGCAAAACTATCAGTATGAATCAACCAAGCACTGGATCCCTCTCGTTGTGTTGTGTAGATTACGGAGGGAACGGCCACCCCAACATACTAAACGTGGCCGCCCGCGCCACAGCACCCCTGCTCTTGCCCAGCTCAGTCACCCCACGCCTCGGCCTCAGCTGCGGCAGCATGGCCGGGCAACCCCGCTGGGTCCTCTGCATGCACGGCCGCCAACCGTGAGCGCCAAAACCCTGGCAACATCCCCCGCGCGCCTGCCACCCTAAACCCTAAAACCTGACCCGCACCTGTTGGCCTGGCCTTGGGGGTCTATCATGAGGGGCCAGCGGCGGGCCCTGGAGGTGATGAGGGCGTTGTCCACGCTGAAGGCGTCGTTGGGCAGGCCGTCAAGCAGCCTTGGGG